GTATATGAAACATGTGTATTAGGTCACAAAGGTTTCCAACCATCTAATTAATAGATTTTCTGTGATGTGAAGTGGTAACACTGTATGTGAGACAAGTCACGGTCACATCAAGTAGTTGTCCAGCCCAAGGAATTCTACTGCCGTTAAAGTACTCTTTGCCGCCTCCCACACACAATGTTATCAGCTCAAATCACAAAAGAGATACTAATTAGGTGGTTGGAAATTCATGTGGCCAAGTGTGCATACACACATATACAGTGTGTTATGGCTGATTTACAAAACACCAAATATTTGCCACTAATGATTCAAGGTTTCATTCAGTGCTCATTAGTCTATGAAATGGTGGTGCCTACACCTTGAGTCATGAGTAAACTGCACAACTTGATCACTTCAACAAATACTTGCTGCATCACTGTGCCAGAATGTTAGACTAATATCCAATATTGAATTCCATAAAAGCAACAGCATAAACAGTTATTTGTGAGGTGGTGATAGATCACTCTGAAGAGCTTAAGGCTTCATGTGGTCCTACAAATCTGAATCTGGTGTTATCAAAGTATCAATAAAATGGCCAGGTAGTATTCTTCTCATTATATGGGATTTTGCTATAATGCTCATAGAATCCAGTCAGTCTATAAAATTCTTCTTTCTATCTAGAAATCAATGGACTGGATATAATCTCATGGCTAATCAAATCTTAAGGATATTGTAAATATTAACTCCACTTTTGGTATCAACAAATTTGTAATGTTCATGTCAATTTGTGTATCAGCAACTAAACTATATACAGGAAGAAAGCATTACATATCCTACTTACTGCCTATGACTATTTGTGGATACAATACTTCATGAATTGACTTAAAATCCATGCATGGAACAGAAACCCCCATGCAGGCCTACATACTGTCTGGACAATTACAGTACAGTTAGTAAAAAAAAAAAATCATGTAGAGCATGAGAATAAATAAGATAACCAACAAAACAAAGTCACTCAAACATGTCTGCCACTGTACAATATATTACAAATATAAGGAAAACACTTACCAACTGGCAATGTTCAAGTATTGAAAACTATCATTTAGATTAAGTTCTTGCTGAGAATAAATGACCAAAATGTACACAAAATCAAACTATGGCACAGAAAGTGTACAATTGATAAAAACCTGTACAGATATAAATGTTTTGCAGTTTTCTTATACAAACTGATAAGTTGTAGGCACCAGCTCCAACAGAATTTAAGAAACCTACAAAAATACATTTCCCATGGAAGGCTCAATGGTTCACTCTCTGTCTCATACACTGATTTTGTCTGCATATTTGCCATTAAAATTATCAAATGTTACAGTATAATCACACTACTTTGGAGATGAAGGTTGTTTCTATACATATTAACCATAGCTGAACTATGGAAGAGATAAGAAATCCCCCACTGCCTGGAGGCTACTCAAGGCATTATATATCTGATTATCTCTACAAAGAAAAGTATTTGAATATATTCTAAATCCCTACTTAATCAGGTATGTCTACTGAAAATTCAAATTTCATTGATAAATACCCAGTTTAAAATCAGCAATACAGGTATAAACTACATTGGTTCTCAGCAATTATTAATATTCGTGTTAAAAGACGGAGTATTTACTCACCGCATTAATGCCTGACAACTGCTGGGAGAGCTGCATAACAATGCCAATTGTGAGTGGCATGCGCAGTGCTGATGAACGCACCAGCTGCAACATACTCATGTGAGCTTCAGTCTGGCTCGCTGCTTCCTCTGCTCGCATCTCTTCAATATCTTCTTCAACATGACTTGATGCACGCAGTCTCCTTAGGGCTGGAATGAAATTAAACTTTAAAAAGAGGGAAATAAAAGAAAAGTCCCTTACTCGCAAAGTAGGAATCACTGTGCAAAGCAATTTGCATTATAAGGGGGGTGCCCTACAAAATGCTTTCGGTTAATATTACTGGGATAAAGTGGCAAAGTGAGAGAAGTGGAACTGCTTATCAAGCTAACATTTCCTGTTTCTCTACAGCAATTTCAGATCTTTTACAGAAGTATTTTTTCTGCTTATCCAAAAAACAGTCCATTATCATGAGAGAGATCACATATTTCCATATAATATACTTCCTCTTTATTGCCCTTTCATCAAAAAAGAAAAAAGTCAATCACTACATTCTTAAAGCATTCTTATGTAATTCTCTAATGAAAAAAATTACTTACAGTTTGATGTCTGTCCTTAATAAAGACTTAACCAAAATGCTACTACCTATAGCAGTAGTATAATGTATCAACCGACCTCTTCGTGCTTCATCCTCTAACTGGCGTGACATGAGCAAGTAGCGTGGAGATTCTGGACACACTGGCAGCAGCACCATCTGCATCACAGCTGGGACAATGGCAAGACCTAAAAGCAAAATATGTATCATACTCCACTCTGAAGGATTATAGCTTATTTGTTAATCTCTATCAGCTTCATATATGCTTCCTTCACTTATTGATATC